CAAAAGCCCCTCCCTTGGATAGGGCCCTGTCTAGGCAGTGGCAATGAGCCTAGGAGGAAAAGCTCACCGTGCTCCTCAAGAGTAAAACCCACAGCTCTTCTGGAGGCACAGGGTAGACCCTCTGGCTTCTCTGCCGAGATCTTTTGACCTTTAATCCTTCCGTGGCTGGGAGGGGACACCAGCCAAGAGAAGACCTCGGGTCAGTTTAGGACTATATAGTCTGAGGCTAACATGGCCAAATATTTCCAAGACATACTTACATTAAAAATTATTTACTTGGGGGCGCCTGGGTGACTCAGTCATTAAACGTCTGCCTTCGGCTCAGGTCATGATCTCAGGGTCTTGGGATCGAGCCCTGCGTCGGGCTCCCTGCTCAGCGGGAAGCCTGCTTCTTCCTCTCCCTCTCCCCCTGCTTGTGTTCCCTCTCTCGCTGTGTCTCTCTCTGTCAAATAAGTACATAAAATAAAAAAAAAATTATTTACTTGAAATTCAAATTTCACTGGGTGTTCTCTTTTCATTTTTTGTCTGTTTGTTTTGTTCGGTCTCACAACTCTACTCATGGCTTGTCTACCTCTGTCAGGAATGCTGAGCAGAAGACTATACTTTCAGGGATCATTTCTATAGTTCGTTACTAGAGAAGTTTCTCTGAACGTGTAGGAATGCTGAGCAGATCACAAGAGCAGAGAAGGGTATCCCCTTGGCCTTTGAAATTCCCATGTGGATTCATCAGTGGCTCATTTCTTCACACATCGTTGGTAGAAACAGTGGCTACCTACCAGAGCCAGCATGCTGGGTTCTGAAGGACGCTTTGTGAATGTTCACTAGAGCTCTAGGAGTTACATTACAGTGTAGCTCTGTAAGGTGCAGTGGCTAGTATACACAGGTCCTCAAATTTTAGTGTATATTAGGATCACCAGGGAAGCTTGGTTAAAAAATGTTGATTCTTAGCCCTAACCCCAGAGATTATGATTCTAGGAATAGAACCCTGAAATCAGTGTTTTTAATGAAAACTCTGGGTGATCTTGAGGTGGGTGGTTCCAGGAGCATTCTTTGATAAGTTCTGGTCTTGCTGGATGGAAGAGACTTGATCCAGTTACTATAAGAGTCAATAAGAAATACTTCTCACTGAGACTTTAGACACTGGGACATGGTGTGCTTTGAGTTTCTCTAAGGTGTTAATGCAGATATAGAATATTATTGTATTATAAGTATTACTCTTTCTTTTCTTTCTGATAAAATATAGCTAAGTGTGCTGGCAAGTGGGAATTGGTTGCAAGCACAGTAGGCTCTTCAAAAGAGAAATTTTCCCCAGATTTCTGATCGGAGCCTTAAGTCAAGGGAAGTGTCACATTCTTACCAAGTAGCTTAGACCTCTTGAGCCACAGTTGGTTCTATGCCAGGAGTATTTATGAAAGCCTTGTTTCTGGAAAGAAAAGGTTCACTGTGTTTCATAGGGTTAAAAGCAAGGACTTGTCTTTACAATTTTTCAAACCAATTCTGTATTTCAGCCTAATGTTTGTGGTACCGATATGGTATGTGGAGGCATTTGTCTATTAGTTGTTGAACACCCAGACTGCTGAATCCTCTGCAAAGTCAAGTCAAAGCAGTGAGCCTTCTGGGAGGGATGCCAGCAACAAATTGTAGTAATCCAGCCTTGTTGTTAGAAGAGCATGAATCAAAAGCTCAGCATCTTGCTGAGACAGCAATCGTCTTAACCTTGTTATACTCCTGAGATGGTAATATGAGGTCTTATCAGTATGGTTGATATGGGTCTCAGAGGAAAGCTGAGGGTCAAAAATGGCTAAAATTTATCATGGAGAATATTGCTTTGTGGGATGTCCAGCTGTAGAGTTGTGACTACCTATTAAATCCTCTGTGAAGTGAGAAATATGTGATCCACTGCCTGCAGGGTAAGAGAAGGGGAAGGAAATGGAATCAAAAGTGAAATAAAACTGGTCAAATGAGATAAAAAACTGATATCTTAATTTTCAGCCATAGGCGTCCGTTTTTGAGATTACCCCTTAGGTAGCTTCTGATTGACCAGGGGTAGTTCTGTGCCAGGGAAGATTAAAGGCTCTCTGGGTGGCCGTATTTTAAATGGTGAAATCTTTTCAAAGAGGTTTTGTTTTTGTAATCAAATCTAAGCTGTGTTCAAGTTCTAAGTGACCCAATTAATAGCATTTAAAGGAGTATACAGAGCAAGAGTGCTGTGATCTATGGTATCTCTCTCTCTTTTTAGCTTTATATCTAGCAACTTTCTTAGAAAGGAGTCAAACCGGGGCACCTGGGTTAAGCGATTGTCTTCAGCTCAGGTCGTGATCCCAGGGTCCTGGGATGGAGTTCCGCATCAGGCTCCCTGTTCAGCGGGGAGCCTGCTTCTCCCTCTCTCTCTGCTGCTCCTCCTGCTTGTGCTCTCTCTCTGCCAAATAAATGAAATCTAAAAAAAAAAAAAAAAAAAAAAAAGAAAGGAGTCAAACCTAGATTTATATTCAAGAAGACAGAGCTTTCTTTAGGAGTTATCATTAGTATTCAGTTTCAACCTCATGGTCCCCAGGAGGAAGGGCAATGTGCAGTGTGTTCAGAAGCCCGGGCTTTGAGGTGAGAAAGGCCTGGACGTGAATCACAACTTTGTCATTTCCAAGTTGTGAGACCTTGGGCAAGTGACTTAACCTCTCTGTGCTTTAGTTTTATTAGCTATAAAATGCAGGTAATGTTAGTACTGGTCTCATAAAGTCTTTGTGAGAATGAAATGACAAATCATATGCAAAATGCTTTCTACAGTACCTGGTGCATGGTATGCACTTTATAAATATTAACATTTGAGAATTTGAGACCAACTCCACCTCCCTAAAAAAATTGCACTTCTCTTTCCCACCCAGGGTTCTGAATAACTTGAGAATTTTAGAAAAAATAAAGACACAGGCAAAAGACCTCCTTATTAATGATAGAGGAAGGTTGGAGAATGCAGTTTAGTCTGACAGTCAAATTGGCCTGCTGAGTGTAGGTAATGCCCCAAATTAGGCAGACTCACCTTACCTGTTCTGGCAGCACCACCTGGACCAGCCCTCCCATGGGAAAAGGAAGAAGAGCAGAACATGCTCTTCCCTATAAGAAGCTTTTTTTCAAGCAGAACGGGGCTGAGCATGCACAGGTATTTTTTCCAAATTCACCAGAGACATGATTCTATATTGCCAGGGTCTGAGTGAATAAAGGGTCAGGAGAGAGAAGGGGTGTGACAGAGAAAAGTCTTCCTCACAGAAATCAAGACCAGGAGAAGATGTTCCCATCTAACACAATGTTATCATTGTCATCAAGAATTCATTATTTCATTATTTAATTTGGTATTACCTTCCCCCTTCATCTCTTCCAATCATACCATGACTATTGCTGGTGTGACGAATTACCACATGCTTAGTGGCTGAAGCAATACAGATTTATTCTCTTATAGTTGGGGAAGTCAGAAGTCCATAATCTGTCTTGATGGGCTAAAGTCAAGGTATCGAGAATGCTGATTCCCTTGGAAGGCTGTGAGGGACCTTCTTTGCCTCTTTTGGATTATAGAGGCCGCCTGCTTGTGGTCCTTTCTGTGCATCATTTCAACTGTTTGCTTTCTTCATACATCTCCTGCTACTGTCTCTGACCATGTTGTCTCCCTCTCATAAGGACCTTTGGGATTCTACTCTGCCTATTCATACAATCCAGGAAAATCTCTTGTCTCAAGATTCTTAATCACATCTGTGAAGTCTGTGTTCCCAGGTAAGGTAACAGCATCACAGATTTAAGGGATGAGGATGTGGATGTTTTTGGGTAGCCATTATTCAGCCGACCAAATGACATTTTGATTGTCTGAGTTTGTCTTGTAGCTATTTTTCATGTTATTTTGTAGAGCATTTTTAAAAATATTTCCTGAATCAGGTTGTAAATTCCTGAAGAGTAAATATCAGATCTTCCATGTTTTTATATTTATTCTGCTTTACTATCTCACATGTTAATGCAAACTAATGCTCATAACAGGCACTCGATAAATCTATTGATTTAAATACGTTAAAGATCACAGTGTTGAGAATGGAGGCCTGTGTCTGGTTTACTTATGTTCAGGAGAAGCAAAATCTCAGCTTTGACTTTGGATTCTACAAATATTCAGACCACATAAGAAACAGTGTACTTGGAGTGAAGCATTAGAATGTTACTTGTTTCCTAGAATTCTCACTGTTGGACTATAGAGAGGCTTTGGGACAGTCAATTAAGTGTTAAGATTTACCAGAAATCTAAGGGATTATTTCAGCCACACTCTCCTTCCTCAGATAAAGAAGAGAAATGGTGAATTTTTGTGAGTGGATGTGAAAACTTAGGCTGCACAATTTAACCTCCTCTCGCCATTAAACTTTGGAGAAGTGGATTATTATACTATGGAATTTGATTCTGATTTTAGCTGCAATGGTTGATAAGAAGTGTACCGTGACTTGAAACAAATACACACAAAATAATTCCCTCTCTCATACGTAGGTGCATATCAAATACACGATTGTTCATCACTTAAAGGTTGAGTTAGAAAATTATGGAGGCCAATATGTAATTTTAAGGTATTCAGTTTACATTAACAGATATCTAAATGAACCATAGAATTAGCTTTAAAACATATAGCCTAATTCACACCCATTATTTTAAAAGTTAGTGATGCCATATAGTAGCTTTGCATATAATATTTTGTTATATAATTAAGACCAAAAAAAAACAAAAAACAAAAACCCTGATTCTTTGTCCTCAGCCCTTTGAATTTGCAATTGCCATTAGGTACTTCACCTGTGCTACCTTCACATCCTCCCCCTCCCTTCTGGACTTTCCTCTCTAGAATGGTAGAAACTGAACTGTGGGGCTAGAAAGGACCCTAGAGGTCATCTTGTCAATTTGGACATTTTACAACTGAGAACATAATTCCAGAGACATTACTGACTTGCTTAAGGTCACACAACTATTGGCAGTTATAACACAAATCTCCTGTGCTCACTTCGGGAGCACATATACTAAAATTGGAATAATACAGAAAAGATTAGCATGGCCCCTGCACAAGGATGACACATAAAAACACAAGTCTCCTAACTCTCTGTAAAGACATTCCTCCCCCCTCACTTAGGTAAGGGAATTAAAGAGCAGAGAGCAAAAAGAAAATTACCAAGGAGTAAAGCGATGGAGGATGAGAAGATTCTGGAATTACTGTGGCCTAAAGGAGGCAGGATTCTCAGTCACATGCTTTCTTATCTAACAGAGTTAATCATCTGTTAGAGGAAGAAAGATGTGCCTACCCTGGGGTTTCAAAATAAGACCACAGGCGAAGGTTTAATTCTGATGGACAGTGCTGGTGGGAACCTTCTCCCCTCTGGGTGAGCAGAGCACCTGAGAACCAAGTCACAGGACCTGGAGAAAGGATTATAATACAGGGATGAGTAAAGAGATACTAGGAAATTGCAAAAATAGAAAAAAAGAAAGAGAAAAAAAGCAGGTATGGCAATAGCAGGAACAGTGTTAATAGTAGAAAAAGAGGTATGTAGAGTTAAAAGAATTAAGCTAGACAGAGGGTCATTTTGTAGTAATAAAGTGACTACATGAACAATTTATGAAGGTTCTGAAACACCAAACAAAAGTACCCAAGATCACGTCATAACTAAATATAGAAAGCAGTATCTATTTGATACGCAAGGATAAATTACAAAACTACACTTCTAATGGGAGACCTTAATACCCATTTTTAGAATAATATATAGGGGAATTGAACAATGATGTCAACACATTTTCTTATATAGACATATCAAAACAAAAAAAATTCAGAAACATATATCCTTTGAATATAGAATATAAATTATTTTCTATGTCCGTGGAATCTTTTAAAACATGAATTATGTAATTGACCACAAAACAAATCTTGATAATATTTTAAAAGCAAACTGTGGGGCGCCTGGGTGGCTCAGTCAGTTGAGCACCTGACTCTTGATTTTGGCTCAGGTCATGACCCCGGGGTTGTGAGATCTTTGCGTGCTCAGTGCGGAGTCGGCTTAAGATTCTCTCTCACCCTCTCTGCCTTGCCCCTCCCCCCCACTCTCTTGCTCTCAAATAAATAAATAAATCTTGCTTAAGATTCTCTTTCACCCTGTTTGCCTGCCCCTCCCCCCATTCTCTCTTTCAAATAAATAAATCTTTAAAAAAAGTATAATATTTACAGACTACTCTCTTGGACCATATTTTAAAAAATCAGAAATAATGAAATGATGAGCCTCTTTTTTCTCTTTAATGCCCAAATAGTAACTACTTAAAAAATATGAATGCATTCCTGGTTAGCTCATGGATCAAAACCACATGAAAACTGAAATTAGACTATCTGAGAACAGTAAAAAAGGATGAATATCAAAACCCATGGAGCCTAGGAAAAAGAATATTTAGTTGTAAATCCCTTTGATAGGTGGTACAGTAAAAGGGAAAGAGAATGAGACATACTTGAAAATCTCCCCCAAAAATTGATTTCTCAGCAAAGTCAACATTACCAAAATTGATAACCAAGTACAGAACTAGAACAGAACGCTTATGACCAAAGAAGTGAGAAAGGTGATCCTATAAAAAAAGAGGCATTATGAAGCCTATACCTTGCTAGTGGAAATGTAGAATGAGGCAGGCACTGTGGAAAGCAGCTTGGTGTTTTATATATTAATTAAACATAAACCACATGATCCAACAATCCCACTCCCAGGTCTATACCCCAAAGAACTGGAAGCAAGGACTCAAACAAATACTTGTACACCAGTGTTCATAGCAGCATTCTTCAAAAGAGCCAAAAGATGGAAACAATCCAAGTGTCATCAATAGATCAGTGGATCAACCAAAGGGAATAAGTTCTGACACTTGCTACAATGTGGATGAACCTTGAAAACATTATGCTAAGTTAAGTAAGCCAACTGTAAAAGATAAATGTTGTGTGATTCCCCTTACATGAGGTACCTAGGATAGACAAAGAGACAGAAAGTAGAATAGAAGTTACCCGCAGCTGGAGGAAAGGTGGAATGTGGGCTTACTGTTTAATGGGTTCAGAGTTTCTGTTTGGGATGATGGCAAATTTCCGGAAATGGACAGTGGTGATGGTTGCACAATATTGTCAGTGTACTTAGTGCCCCTGAATTGCACACTTAAAAAGGGTTAAAATTATAAATTTTGTGTTGTATATGCATATTTTATCACACTTAAAAGAGACATTGTGACAAGATATTTTCCTGAGTTCTAAACAATCTCGAAAGAACAGATTTCTCTCATGTTAATCAATTTACAGAGTAGAAAAAGATGAAAAGTTCCTCAAATTGCTTTTGAAGTCAGTACAACCTTAATTGACAAATCTGGTAAAGGTATTTCAGTCTGGCATGGTATCAAAAGAAGATTTATTAGGCCACCTAGAATTTATACAGAAATTAAAAGGTGGTTCAATATCAAAATCTCATTATAATTTGCTTAATTAACAAACTAAAGGAGAAAAAAAAAGCTTATAATTTCAGGAGAAATTGAAAGCATGTTAGACAAAATTTCAGAGGATATCCTAAGTAAAATATGAATAGGATGAAATTACCTTTAAAACCTTAAAATTGAGGTGCCTGGGTGGCTCAGTCGGTTAGGTGTCCGACTCTTGGTTTCAGCTCAGATCATGGTCTTGGGGTCCTGAGATGGAGCCCTGCTTCAGGACCATCGCTCAGCTCTCTCTCTCTCTCAAAAAAAAAAAAAATTCACATGTGACTTTGACTCCTCCAAAATATTACTAGTAGCCTACTTTCGACTGGAAGCCTTACCAATAACAGTTGATTAACATACATTTTGTATGTTATATGTATCATATACTATCTTCTTACAATAAAGTAAGCTAGAGAGAAGAAAATGTTAAAATCATATGGAAGAGAAAATACATTTACAGGACTATGCTCTCAAAAATCTGCATGTAAGTGGACCTGTGCAGTTTCAGCCCGTGTTGTTCAAGGGTCAACTGTAGTAATAAAATCCTCAGCTTATAAAATTCTACATACAAAATTATGTATTACAGAATTTCTCAGATGGACAAAAATACTGAAAGTTGGAGATACACTAAATGTCCATAAATAGGGGAAGGCTTTAAATAAGTACTGTTTTGCCCACACTGTGGAATATTTTGCTACTATGCATCCATTAAACATACTAAAAATTAGAACTATACCAGTTGTACTCAAGGCATTTTTTAAGTGAGAACAATAAGATACAGAGGAGTGTGCATAATATACAATTTTTATAATCAATCCCAGACTCCCTATCAGTGCAGATGTACATGTATATGCAAGTGTGTGTCTGCACGTATAAAATTACATGAGACTGAAATAAAGCCCAGAACTACAAACACAGGGTTATTAACATAGGTTATCAGATTGATTGGGAGAAGGGGCAGTAAATATGAATGAGTTGGAGAGAAATGCTGGAAAGGTGACTTTGGAGGGAAGCAGATAATTAGCTTTTTCTCTATACATGTTTGTATGTTTTATTTATTGCAACAAACTTGTGTTATTCCATATTTGAAAAATATAGATAAAAAGAACCAACGTTGAGTTGAATGGCTGCCTCCTGAAAGACGTGTCCATTCAGAACTTGTGAATGTGACCTTATTTGGAAAAACCATTATTGCAGATGAAATTAATTTAAGATCTCCGGATGGGATCCTCCTGGACTAGTGTGGCCCCGAAATCTATGACAAGTGTTTTTATAAGGGAAGAGAAGGGCAGAAGATGCACAAAGAAGAGGAGGCTGTGTGAAGGCTGAGGCAGAGACTGGCCTGAGAAGCCACAAGCCAAGAAATGCCAAGAGCCACCAGAAGCTGAAAGCGGCAAGGGACAGAATCTCCCCAAGAGCTGCTGGAGGGAGTACAGCCCTACCCACCCCTTGACTTCATGCTTCAGGCCTCTAGAACCGAGAGAATAATGTTCTGTTGTTTTAAGCCATTACGTTTGTGTTTACTATGGTAACCCTGGGAAACACACAGAGGCTAAACCTTTAATTTATGTCGATGGAAATTTTCTGCAAATTCCAATATGTAAAAAAAATTAGATCTATTCTGGTTTAGGAATATGACGCTCGGCTCTGCCTCCTCCATCTCTGTGTTGTTACAGAAACACCAGGTAGGTTTGGTGCACAGCTTGCAGATCACTGATTTAGTCCAATCCCTTCTGTACAGATTAAAAGAGGCTTGAAGAGTGTTTCCCACTTCTTGGCAAGCCAAGCAAACCTTGTCTCCCTTTCTTATCTTATCCCTGCGAAGGCTTGGGGTCACTGTGAGTCCTTTATCACAGCTGGGCAGAGTTTAGTCAGCTCTTCTCTCTGCAGGACTTGGAGAGTGCCATTTTTTAACTTTTCCCAAATCCATTTCACTGCTACACAATCACTTTTGTAAAGTTTTTAGAACTTTTACAAATTTTTTTCTCTGTTTCATTTGGAAAGGATTTTGCATAAACCACTGGTTTCTTGCCGAAGATCTTTTTTTATGCATCTTTCACTTGAAATATGTATCCCTCATGGACTCTTAATTTTGTGTCTCTGATTCATCATACGACAAAACTAAATTGAGAATTCCCTTTACATCACTGCATGCAAAAAGTCCCAGGATATAAAAATGCTTGAGAAGGCAGGACACTGGGGGTGCAGAAAGAGTGACTGCAGCTAGTGTGAAATCAGAGAAGAGGGGAAAAAATGCTGAGAAAATGCAGGTAAGGCTCCGTATCTCCCAGTGCTCCATAGGATTCCTGCAGGATGAGGCAGGCAATTTCCTCAACCCACAATTTTTATTCCTACCAAATTCCATTTTTATTTCTATGAAAGGAACTTCCCACCTTCCCCAAAGAATCATTGCAAGGCAGATGAGGCTAAAAAGGCTCTGAGGAGCTAGATGAGGTGTGGAGATGTAAGAAGGACCATTTTTGGGTAACATCATAACCATCATTTTATAAAACTTACATGGGTGAAACAAACAAAAACTTACATGGGTGTCTTTGAGTGTTTGAGATCAAGATATGTTTTGTGCATTGAAGAAGAGTTCATTGGAGCTGAAGAAGTAGTTTATAG